ACAGGAGGGGGGCTGCCACCACGGCCACCGCGATGGCTTCACCCCTTTGTGCTGTTCTGTGCCTCAGTTTCCCCATGGGGTGGCATGGCCCCAGCCCGGGCTCTGCTGCAGCCGCTCTCCCTGACCCCAGTGACAATTCTGAGGGGTGTTCCTGGCACTGGGGACACTCTGGAGGGGTCCCCAAGGTGGCTGCACCCAGGAGCTTTCAGGGGACAGTGGGGTGCTGCCATGTGTGGTGACACTTGGGGCCTTGGGGACATCACGTTCCCCATGTGCCACCATGGCCCAGCACCTTGAGGTGTCTTTTGGGACCCCAAACTCAGTGGCAGATGCTCCTCAGGATGCTCGGGCACAGCTCTGGGTGCCCCCCAGGGCCCTTGGGTGCAGCAGGAGATGCCCCCAGGACCCCCCAGCACATCCTTGTGCAGCCTTGGGGACTGTCCCCAAGAGTCCCCTGGGGCTGTGACCCTCCCTGAGCCTTCTGGGGAACGGCCTTCTACAGCATGGGGACCCCAAACCCACCCAGTACCAGCCCTATCCATCAATCAATCAATCAATCAATCAATCAATCTGTCCCTCCGTCCATCCACCTCTCGCTGCCCTTGCCTCAGCTACGGGCTAATACAAATAATAATTAATGCTAATTAAGCACCAGCAGCAGCTCCCCTGGCTCTCATTAACTCCAGCCCCGACCCAACGCTGATGGGCAGCCCCCAAACCAGCAGCACTGAGAGGATTTTTGGGGTGCCAGAGAGGACCCCCCAAATTCTGACTGGCTCTGAATATTCCAGGATCAACCTTTAACTGCTGGGAACCCCACACCACACCAGGAACGGGGGATTTTTGCCAGCAACCCCTTAAATAACCCAATTTTTTAATTATTCGGGCCATTGAGGGGGGAATCTTCTTTCTAGCTATCGATGCGGCGATGCCTTGTTAGTAATTAACAAGCCGTTAATTAAGTTGCATCGCCCGCCCGAGCGCTGCTCCTCTTGACAAGGAGCTCCACAGCTTCTGGAAATTCATCCAGAAATGTCGATGCCCCACAGATCTAGGGGCGTAGGAAGGTTTGGGGTGGTCTCCAAAAAGATTTGAGGGTTGAGGTGATTTTTTGGGGGGCTCAGTCCGCAGTGTTTGGGAGAAAGAGCAAGAAGTGCCAAACAGCGCTGGAAACCCCCAAAATTTAAGACTTGAGGGAGGGGGAGGACAAAAATAATCTCAATAAAAGGAAATTGGAAGTGTTTGGATGGAGAAAAGCTGCGGAGCGAGCGGCTCCTGCCGTGCTCCCGCTCGGAAGGGCTCGGGGAGGGTGACAGGGATCCCGCTCCTCCTCACAGCCCGGCTCTTTTTGGGGTGAAAACTCAGTTTTGGGGGTCCTGCATGCTCAGGGCAAGGAGGCATCGCGGGTTTTGATGCCGGGGGAAACGCAGCGTGGATGGAGGCGCGGGAATGCAGCTGCGGTGACATCCAGGGGAGCTGAGCTCGGTGACATCCCCGAGGGGACACGGCCACATCTTGTCCCTCGAGTCCTGGTGTGGGAAAGGGGCACCCCAAAAGCGTGGGGATGGCGAGGCTGAGTCCTGGCATTGGGGGATCCAGCGGGGTGAGGGGAGGGAAAGGATGGAGCCACCCTCGGGGTGTCCCCTGCGATGTCCCCACTCAGACCCAGCCGGTTCCAGGCTGGGGGTGCAGCCCCCCAAAAGCGAGACCTCCGCGGGGACAATGGCATGGCCGGGGGGGACACCCCCCAAGGAACATCTCCGTGGCCAAGGAAAGAGCTGAGGGAACCCCTGGGGACACATCAGGGTGGATGTGACTGTCCCCAGCACTGGGAGAGGGACAGGGGACACGGGGCAGCGCCTGGGAATGGGAGGAGGAGGAGGATGGGACACGCCAGGGGTGCACCCAGAGCTCTGCACTGTCACTGGGAGAGGGACAGGGGACCCCAAGGGTGCACCCAGAGCCTGTCATTGTCACTGGGAGAGGGACAGGGGACCCCAAGGGTGCACCCAGAGCCCTGCACTGTCACTGGGAGAGGGACAGGGGACCCCAAGGGTGCACCCAGAGCCTGTCATTGTCACTGGGTAAGGACAGGGCACCCCAAGGGTGCACCCAGAGCCCGTCATTGTCACTGGGAGAAGGAGAGGACACCCCAGGGCTGCTCCTTCAGGGTGGGGAGCAGGATGGAGCACCCTGGGGACACAACCAGAGCCCTGCACTGTCCCTGGGATAAGGACAGGACACCCCAGAGGTGCACCCAGAGCCTTGCAATGTCCATGGGAGAGGGACAGGGAACACCAAGGGTGCACCCAGAGCCCTGCACTGTCACTGGGAGAGGAACAGGACACCCCAGGGCTGCTCATTCAGGGCAGGGAGTACCCCGGGGACACAATCAGAGCCTGTCATTGTCACTGGGAGAAGGAAGGAGCATCCTGGGGGAGCATCTCCAGCACTGGGAGAAGAATGGGGCATGCTGAGGATGCAGCTCCAGAGATGGGAGCAGGACAGAGCCCCTCGGGGGTGCACCCCGAGCCCATCACGTCACTGTGAGGAGAACAGGGCACCCTGGGGTTACAGCTCCGTGCCCAGGAGAAGGATGTGGCACCCTGGAAACGCACCCAAATCCCATCGTTGTCGCCCAGAGAGGGACAGAACATCCCGGGGATGCATCCCTGGGGGTAGGAGAAGGACAGGGCATTCTGGGGGCGCACACAGAGCCCATAATCAGCACTGAGAGATGGATCAAGCACCCCAGGGGCGCATGGCAGTGTCAGGAGAAGGATGTGGATGGACCCAGAGCCCATCACTGCCGCTGGGAGAAGGATGTGACACCCTGGGGATGGGAATAGGATGGGGGCCCTGGGGAAGCACCCAGAGCCCGCAATCAGCACCGGGAGGAGGATGTGCCACCCTGGGGGTGCATCCAGGGGCCGGGAAAAGGATGGAGCCCCTGGGGAAGCACCCGCGGTCCATCCCCAGCACAAAGAGGATGTGACACCCCGGGGCAGGAGAAGGACGGAGCACCCACTCTGAAGGCAGGAAAAGCACGGGGAAGCCCTCACAGCCCTTCTCCCGTGCTGGGGGATATCAGAGCTCCCTGCCCCGCGGATGGAGCCGGGATGGGGCAGCCCTTACCTGCCCGTTCTTGCAGAGGTCGGCCCACATGCTGGTGCCGTCCCCGCCGCGCATGAGGACGTGGTAGGTGAAGAAGTAGGTGCCGGGGATGGCGCAGGTGAACTTGCCCGAGGCGGCGTCGTAGCTGTTGCCCAGGTTGGTGACCACGTCGTCGAACTTGAGCACCTCGTAGCCCTCGTGNCAGATGTGGGACCACAGCTCTGACCCCAAATTCAGGCTTGGATACAGGACTGTGGGTCCGGCATGGCAACCACGGCTCTGACACAGAACCCCAAATCCAGATTTGGATCCAGGTTTGGACACAGGACCATGGGTCAGACATGGGACCACAGCTCAGACACAGAACCCCAAATCCAGGTTGGGATCCAGGTTTGAATGTAGGACTGTGGGTCAGACATAGCACCACAGCTCTCCCACAGGACCCTGACTCTGGATTTGGATGCACAGCTCAGACACAGGACCCCAAATCCAGATTTGGAACCAGAACCGTGGGTCAGATGTGGCACCACAGCTCCACACGAGACCATGGCTCTCTCACAGGACCCTGACTCCAGATTTGGATGCGCAGCTCAGACACAGAACCCCAAATCCAGGTTTGGATCCAGGTTTGGATCCAGGTTTGGATCAGGACCGTGGGTCAGATGTGGGACCACAGCTGCGACACAGAACCCCAAATCCAGGTTTGGACACAGGACCGTGGGTTAGATGTGGTACCACAGCTCTGACAAGAACCCCAAAATCCACGTTTGGATCCAGATTTGGACACAGGACCGTGGCACCACAGCTCCACATGGGACCACGGCTCTCCCACAGGACCCTGGCTCCAGATTTGGATGCACAGCTCAAACACAGCGCCCCATCTCTGGGTTTGGATCCAGGGCCATGCCTGGCACACAGCACCCCATCTCCCATCCCAGCCCCAACCCAAACCCTGAACCCTGCATCCCGGGAGCTGCACGGGGACAGTGAGGGTGTGGCGAGGGCTGAACCCCCATCCACCCCCAGAAAGGTTCCCTGGGTGCCGGCAGAGCCGGAGGAGCCGTCCNGCTCCGAGCCCGCCAGGTCGATGAAGCTCAGCTTGGCCACACGCGGGTCCCTGGCGGGGCCACCAGTGAGGTCCCAGTGCTTCACCTGGATCTGGGGACAGAGGGGGCTGAGATGGCTCCACACAGGTACTCCAGGCTCTCTGCTTTCAGGGAGCCTTTTCAAGAGTCAGGGAATCCAGAGGGAGGAGAGGAACGTGGCATGTTGAAAGGATGAGCCAAACACCCGGTGATGACACAAGGACCAGAGCCAGGGAAGGGATGTGGCAGGGAGGGGCAGCTATGGGAAAAATCAGCATCTCCCACACTCGGTGACAGAGAGGGGTATGGCTGGGCAGGTCCTCAGAGGGGTTGGAAAAGCATGAAGCCACCTGCCAGCAGCAAGGGGCAAGGCAGCAGGCTCAGGCTGAAGTGACAGCCCTGGAATTGGGCAAGGACCTGGCTGGAACTGAAATCCAGGGGCAGCTTTTCACCCAGAGCACGTGAACAGAGTCCCTGGGGAGCAACATCCCCAGCTCAGGGTTGAGGGGGAGAGCCCTGGGGCTGCCCAGGTATGCAGGTTTGTTTCTAGTCCCGTTTGCATCAGCCCTCACCTGGAAGATGGCGTGGGAGCGGGAGGAGGCGGCGTTGGCCTTGGTGGAGCGCTGGGCCCGGTTTTTGTTGCCTTTGGCCAACAAGGCCAGGAGCTGCTCTGGAGTTGTGGGCTGGGGGAGAAGGGGCAGGGGCTGGATTAGCACCTGGGCACCCTGAGGCCGAGCAGCCCCGGGCAGTGCCAGCTCTGTGGGGCCCTGGCAGCTCGGGGCCATCTCTGGAGCCAGGAGCACCTGGGACCTCCCCAGCCCGTGTCCCCAGGGCTCCCAGCACCGTGCAGATGAGTCTGTCCCAGCCCTTGTGCCCAGACCTGGTGCAAGGAGAGGCCCTGTGCCACGACTCCTTTCCCGGGCTGCTCCCAGACGTTCAGAGGGCCCTGGGGCTTCAGCAGGTCATAGACACGTTCCTTGTACACCTGGAGCAGGACATGGAGGTCAGGCTGAGGTTTAATTCTCTGGGAGAGAGCTGGGTACCCCTGCAGGATCTGGCACAGCCAGGGGTTCCCCCTGACCCCACCTCTGGCACCTCATTCCACCAGAGCAGCTGATGGGGCTCAGAAGGCAGGGCCAGCTCCCAGAGCTTTGCTGGGTGCTTCTCCCAACCCCGCTCCTCTCCAGCCCTTCCAGGAGGCCCTCACTGCTCTGTGGAGCACAGCAAGGGAGAGAAAAGCCCAGCTCGGCTGAGAGGGAGGAACAGCAGCAGGTGGATGATCCTGCTCCCAGCCAGGCTGCCCTGCCAGCCCTAGGGGACACTGCAGGTACCCCGAGTGTGGCTCTGGATCAACCCCAAATCTCCTCCCTGGGGACCCTGAGGCAGGAGGGGACACGCTGAGCCACAGCAAACCTGCTGGTAGGAGACCAGGACCTCCCAGCTCCTGTCCTTCATGGCCTCGAGCCTCTTGTAGAGCTCCACCGTGGCCAGGTGCACAATGCCAGGAGTCCTCTTGGTGCCCATCATGGTGTGGGTCTTCCCAACCCCTGAGGCTCCGTAGGCAAACACTGCAGGGAGAAGAGGTGGGAGGTGAAATGATCTGAGAGCAGGAGAGGAGGAGGAGGAGGAGGAGGAGGAGGAGGAGAAGGAGAAGAGAAGGAGAAGGAGAAGGAGAAGGAGAAGGAGAAGGAGAANAGCTCTTCCAGCCCTGTGAGCTCTTCCAGCCCTGTGGGCTCCTCTGTCCCTGGGAGCTCCTCCATCCCTGAGAGCTCCTCCATCCCTGCAAGCTCCTCCAGCCCTGTGGGTTCCTCCATCCCTGGGAGCTCCTCCATCCCTGGGAGCTCCTCCATCCCTGAGAGCTCCTCCAGCCCTGGGAGCTCCTCCATCCCTGGGAGCTCCTCCAGCCCTGAGAGCTCCTCCAGCCCTGGGAGCTCCTCCAGCCCTGGGAGCTCCTCCATCCCTGTAAGCTCTTCCATCCCTGTAAGCTCTTCCAGCCCTGTGAGCTCTTCCAGCCCTGTGGGTTCCTCCAGCCCTGTGGGCTCCTTCACTTCCTTTGTCTTCTCAGTCATTTCATCAGGGCAGAGGCTGTGAGTACAGATTTGGGGTAAGAGTGTCAAACTTGGAACATAGGACATTCCCAAGCTGTAAATCCCCTCCTGGAGGGCCTGAGCTGTGAGGTGTGTGTGCACCTGTGGGTGACAAGGCGCCCAGGGACAGGCCAGCATCTCCAAGCTCAGCCCTGCTCCCCACATCCATCCAACCATGGACAGCCCAGTCTGCCCAGGCTGAGAGGAGACAGCAGGACATGGGGAGGACACACAGACACTCACTTCTGCTCCTGGTCCTGCTGAAGGGGACTCGGTGTCTTGGTCTGGAACTGCAGATCGGGCGGGGAGGCTGTTCTGGAGCTGCAGGGAGACGCCCCGGGCTCCTGCAGGGACTGGAGTCAGGCAGTGGTTAAAAACACAACAGTGCAGCATGAACCCATCTCCAGGGCTGCTCCTCAGCCTCCTCCAGGCTCCAAGGGGTTGGTGGCACACCTACCCCTTCCCCTCCCCCTTTCCCCAGGCTTAAAAAGACACGGGACCATGTGGTTGCTGTTCTGTTGGAGCTGTTACCAGAGCAGAGATCTGTGACCCTGGAATAAAACTCTGGATCTAACTCTCCGGCAGAATCCATCTCCTTTTCCTCTTCACCTCGCCTAAAGCCTTTCCACCAGAGGTAAACCTGAGTTCCTGCTTGCCTGGACTTGTTCCAAGTGCCAGCTGCAACATCNGGGGCTCTGTTCATGTGCTCTCTGCTGCCTGGCTGCAAAGCTGCCCCTGGATTTTCCAGCCAGGTCCTTTCCCAGTTCCAGGGCTGTCACAGACGGAGCCTCTGGCTGTCACTTCAGCCCGTGCTGCTGCCAGGGGAGCAGCCCAGGTGGCTGCATGCTTTTCCAGCCAGCTCCCAGCTGGGCTCCTTGGTGGCTCCTGGATTCCTGCCTGCACAAATCCCTGAGCTGTGCTGGAATTCTGCCCTTCCTGCTGCCAGCCCTGCCTCCCAACAAGCAAAACCACGGCTGCAGAGGGTGCAGGAACAGCCCTCAGCTCCCAGCACTGCAGGGGTTAATCCCTGCAGGATTACAGGGCAGTGGGGGAAGCACTTTGGGTTATACTGGGAGATTTTTAGGGATTCAGAGGGGAAGGCATGGGGCAGTGCTGCCAGGTGAGTCTTGGTGGCTGTGTTCCCCCTGGCCTGCGCACACAACCCTGGCTGGTGCCACCATGGGGACACTGCCACCATGGGGACACTGTCAGGCTCTGTCCTGGGCTGAGTTTGGTGGCAAAATGTCCAGGCCTGGAGCTGCCTCTCTGTGTGTGAGCCCTCCCAGCTCATGCTGGGGCTTTGTTGCCCTTCAAGGACCCAGCCAGCTGCACCCTGCTCCATCCCTCAGTGTGGGAGATGCACATTGTTTTCCATAGCTCTGTCCCTCCCTGATTTTGCTTCTCATGGCATCACCAGGTGTTTGGCTCACCATCATCGACCCACAGTGCCCTCCCAGACAGCAGGATTTCCCTTGGGAATGCTGAAATCCTCAAGTCACATCCTCAAACAAAGGAGATGAGCCTGGAGGGCACATCCTGCTCCCTGCTGAAACCCTGCAGAAATGCCACGACCTTTGGGGGACGTGTAGGATGACTCTGGCAGGCATAAACATTGACTCCCAATTCTGTGCTGAGTTAAAAACACCTCAAAAGCAGAGACAGTTCTGAAGAAAATTGCCAGATTATTTGAAATAAAAAACCCAAAACACTTTCCATTCAAAAAGTCAAAACCAAACATTGAAAAAATGTTGAAACTACAATAGGCTAAAATGGTCCTCACATTGGCAATTCCCTGCATGAGGGTGATCCAAGCTGTCCAAGTGGTGGAGCTGCTACAACTTGACCAGTTTCCTGAACACCTCAGCCCTGCAGTGGGACAGGTGGATGAGGAAGAAGATGCCGACGATGACGGCGAAGCTGATGCCCACAGCCCTCATGACGAAGATGGACTCGGGGTCACTGGGGCTGCGCTGGCGCCGCGGCTCGAAGGTGACAGTGAGCTGGAATCCAGCCACCAGCTCGCCCTCCCGCCAGCAGAAGTAGGTGGCTTTGTCCCTCCTGCGCAGCCGCTGCAGGTGCAGGTGGTTCCCGTGGTCGATGAAGAGCCTCATGTGCTTCCTCACCCCCACCAGGTAGTGGGCACGGTAGAGCCGCACGGATCCCTTGTCCCAGGCCACGGCGTGCTCCGGCCGCGCCCCCGGGCACGAAATCACCAGGTCAGTTTTGGGGGGCTGGTTGTGGTACTGGATGGGGACACGGGGCAGCTGTGGCTTCTCACCCAGCTTGTAAACGACGTTGGAGATGGACTGCACGCCCTCTGCGGGGGCTTCCTTCTGCTGGCAAGGGGCCAGGCAGCTCCTGACGGCCACCTCGGGGCTGCGGAGGCGGNTTGGGCTGGACCCGGAGCGGCGATCTCGCCCTCCTCTGGCCGGGATGCGTTTGGTGTTCGGTGTTCGGGGTTTGGCTCGGGTGCAGCTTTTCCTCCACCAGAGCCCCCCAGTTCTTCTCTGCAGATTCCCAGCTTTTCACCCACTTTGTGCTGTCCCTGTGCAGGTGCAGCCCCTTCCCTTGGTTTCATTGAACTTCACTCTGCCCTTCTCTGCAGACTCTCAGCTCTTCTCCCACTCTGTGCTGGTGCAGCCCCTTCCCTCGGCTTTACTGAACATCACTGTGACCTCTTGGTCCCACTTCTCCAGCTTGTCCTGGATGTCACCAGCACTGCAGCTTTGTGTCACCTTTGTGAACGAACTGATGGTGGCCTTGAGCCGCTGTGTCAGTGAGGAAGGGGCTGCAGAGCCCTGGTGCCATCCAGAGCCCTCAGGGACACCTTTGTCACCTTGTCACCATCCAGCCAGTCCCTGACCCCCCTCTCACAGCCGTGTCCCCCAGCTCAGGGATGAGGATGGATTTTGGAAGGGGATGAAGGCAGCTCCAGGCAGTGGGTGCAGCTGTGGATTGGGGTGTCTGGGGATGGGGATTAGGGTTTCTGTGGATTGGGGTGCCTGGGGATGTAGATTAGGGTGTCTGGGGATTGGAGTGTCTGGGGATGGGGATTGGGGTCTCTGGAGATGGGGGTTGGGGTGTCTGTGGATTAGGGTGCCTGGGGATGGGGATTGGGGTCTCTGGAGATGGGGGTTGGGGTGTCTGTGGATTGGGGTGTCTGTGGATTAGGGTGCCTGGGGATGTAGATTAGGGTGTCTGAGGATGGGGATTGGAGTTTCTAGGGATGGGGATTGGGGTGTCTGGGGATGCTGCTCTGCCACAGTTTGGGGTCTGCAATGAGGGTCCCTCGTGCTGAGGAGCACATGTAGGGCACCAAGCTGCCGGGGCAGCTGCCCTGGGAGTGCAGGGGAAATGGGCAGAGCTCCCAGCCAGTGGGCAGGAGCTGGCACTGACCCAAAGGGCCCTGCAGCGCCAGGGAGGTGACAGGGACACAGCACGAGAGGATGGCTCAGCAGGAACACCCCACTGCCAGGAGGGGATGGAGCCTGGGAGGTTCTTTGTTGGCTCCATCTCGAGCTGTTACTGAGCTGCTGCAGCAGGATTAAATTCCTTAAAGGAGCCAGAGTCTAGGACTGCTCTCTGGGAGCCCTGGGGCTGAGTTGGAGAGGAAACCAGGAGCAAATGTGGGATGGGGTGTGGGGGAGCCAACAGAGCCCCAGTGCCAGTCTGGGTGGGAGTGCAGCTGCCAGAGCAGCTCCAGGATGGGTGACAGGGAAGTTTCCTGAACAGTTTCTGACCCAGATGGGATCCCAGGTCACCTTCCTTCTCCAAACATCCAGCACCAGGTGACCGACCCAATATGTCAATATGTAGGGAACAATCAACTATTTTTTGTGATTTTGTATTGATAATATTTTCTGGCCTATGGCAACTCTGTTGACCTTAATTTTGTTGCTTGGTACCTGCAATAATAATATGTGTCAGGGTAATGTTAAATCCCTTTTGTTTCTGAGTATATTAGCAGGAATGCCACACTAAAATCCAGGGAGGAATTCCTGGTGAGGAATCTCTGGAGCTGCTGCTGTGAAGGGGCAGGAATGTGACTGCCAGAGGGGCTCTGGGATGGATGGATGGATGGATGGATGGATGGATGGATGGATGGATGGATGGATGGATGGCCAGAAAGGTTCCTGAACAATTGCTGACCCATGTGGGACCTCAGCCCACCTTCCTTCTCCAAACACCCAGCTGCTGATGCTGGATTTCACCTGGGAGAGTGTTAAAATTTCCTGAGCAGATTCCACATTAATTCTAAGAGTGGTTTTGATTGTCTTCATTGTGCAGCATTTTGGTGCAGTTACCGCAGTGAATGGAGCACAGAGCTGGGCTGTGGGTCTGAAGGAACCGGGCTGGAGCGAGCCTGGAATCCTTTAACCGCTTTGAAGGATGCAGTGTGAAATGTTTACAATCCTGGGCTGTGCCCTGTGCTGGACACTGTGTTTGGTGCGCAGTGATTCCTTCCCGAGGCACTTCCACGGCAGAGCTGCCGGGCTGCCCAGGCCGGGCACAAACCCCGGGGAAGAAGCCGCTCCCTCGGGAATGGTGCCGGTGCTCAGGGAGACTCCCGGGGAAGGGGATCCAGGGCAGGGAGAGGCGCCTCGGCTCCAAGCCGCTCTTGTAGCTATTTAGGCCATGGCGGTGACACCGTC